TTTTAACTTTTAACGTCTAACATAATATAATTTTATGAGCATGAATGTTCTTTCACGCAGTGAACTTCCTTAGGATTTCTTCAGATGACTGAAGAAATTCACACAGTCACCTGACGAAACGAAGGCTTGTGCTTAATATTTTCTTAGTCTTCAAGTTACTGCTGGTCATTTTAGTTCATATTTAAAAAGCTACCCTGTTATTCATAAAACTATGCGCATAATATGATTGATTGAACACATTATTACAAAAATGTAATTTATAAAATGTATGTAAACTTACCATTCCCGGCAGTTATATGCATTGGCATTGTCAAAATAATCTGCAAATTTATAAATAATTCAAAGTTTAAACTATAGCCTAACATTTATTTAAAATAGGCAATAAATGAACAAAAAAGAAAGTAAAAGACAGAAAAAAGTGCACATAATCATAAAAAAACAACACAAAATAAAAACGAATAAAAAGTGTTATTATAGGGAACAAAACTCGAAATAAAACTTTTTTCATTTTGACTCCTATGGCAAAGAAAATAAAAAGAAGGAAACACGAAAAACAAACATATTTAAAATAGATTAATTTATGTTGGTTCAGTTATGTAAAATAGTATTAATAAGAATAATGGCATTAATATCAAACTTAATGAGGGGTAGGCCTAAGTATTTTTTTTTAAATTTCTATGACCATGACCTTAACATTTCACTCTAAAATGTAATCACCACTTCCATAGACCTATATCTACTACTTCACTAAATTTTATAATATTGATACTTTGTTACTCCTGCTAACAAACAACGGTGAATACACAACATCTTCGCCAAAAGTAATTAAATAAATCAAAATAAAAGACAAAAACTTACAAAAAAGCAAAGGCTAACCATCTTCACCATACTAGATTAAACACACGTCTTGTGCCTTCTCGTCAACAACGGATTTATGTAAAGAAAAATTTAAAAATAAAAAATGAAAAAAAACCTTTTAGGTGGTGTGTATATGAAACATATTTTATATTTTACTCACGGCCATCTGTTGTATTTACCTCAATAAATTTACACGTAACAACTGGTGCAGTGGCGGCGCCAGGATTTCCCCGACGGAGGTCGAAGGTCCCCCGACGGGGGGGGGGGGGCTGAAAAAAAGTGGGCGTGGACTGGCGTAGCCAAAAATCTTTCGACAGTGGTCCAGGGGACGTAGCCCCCCCCCCAAAAAAATATGACAATTTAGGGGTTTGAAAGGAGTCAGTAACAAACTAAATCTTATAGTGGCTGAGAAAGCCTAGATCTATATTGAGGTCACTATTAATGCTATCAAATTTATGAATAAAATTTTGTTCGGTAATTAATTGTTCATAATTAGCTCCATGACTGCACAGATAGTTTATCTGCCTAGCTCTACTTATTAGTAGAATAGTAAGTTGCTTGATTTCACTTGTTATCTCTAATCATTGTATACTACATTGTATCCGACTGCTTATTGGTTAATTGTGAGACTATTGCTAATTATGTATGCATAAGCTCTTTTCTATTTTGTTTTCAATTTTTTATTTCACACACCTGATAAAGCTGGCGAAAGCTTTTGTTAAATAAATAACATCTAAGTTAGTCTCAGAGTGCTGCCTTTTAATTTTCTTACCATAATTCATAACATTGATTCCTGCAAAGCCACATGGCCCAGATGGCATCCCAACTGTTGTTTTAAAACATTGTTGTCCTGAGCTTTCCCCAACACTTTCCAAGCTGTTTAACCTGGTAGGTTTAAACATTTCCAGCTTGCTGGAAAACTGCGTCGTTTGACCAGTTACCAAGAAAGGGATATATTCAAAGCATTTGATATAGTCTGTCACAGGGCGGCCGGGCCCGCCTTCATAAACTTAAGGCCGATGGCTTAACTCACAATTTCGTCGTCCTATCTCTTCATTTCGTTCTGATCGCCACATTCAGGTTATTTTTGACACTCACCGCGAGCACATTTCTTGTTTCATTGACAACATCCCTAACTCTCTTTTTCCTAACATAAAAAGTAATATACAAGACACCACTCACTTTTTCCGCAACCTCAATGGTTACTATTGATTGTTACTGACCTTTACACTAACATCCCCCATAACGAAGGACCCATGGCTTTCTCGATTAATGTTATCCCACACATTATACATCTGATCTTATTACTCAACTTCATTCTATCGCCAAATCAAGGGCACAGATTGGGAACTAAAATGGCCCCCTCATACGCTAGCATATTCATGGACCACTTTGAAAATAAAACACATCCTCTCCAACCTCCATTTTATAGCCGATATATTGATGATATCTTTTTTATATGGCACACGGCCCTCATTTATCTCCCACATCAATAACTCTCACCACAGCATTAAGTTCACCAAACTCCTACTCAGATATCCCATTTTAGATGTGTTAGTAGGCTTAAAGGATAATTAAGTTACGTCAATTGTTTACACTAATTATAGACAATCACAGATACCTCGACTTTAATACCTCTCATCCCATAAAACTCAAGAAATCCATAGTTTACAGTTAAGCGCTCAGAATAGGCCTATAAAGAATCTGCCCATCCACTACAGAATTTGATGAACACATTAACACACATGTCTACAAATTAAGACTTAGCAACTTTCCCATGAAATTCATCAAAGCATTTATCATGAAGGCCTTGTATAAATCACCCCAACAATTTCTGGATTAAAACGCTAAATCGAATTCAATTGGTATACCAATAGCCCTGGTCCTCGACCTCAACCCCGAATCCAGCACCTCGCCAAAACCATCATCCACGATTTCCGTATTCTCTCTCACTGCACTTTATCTAATTCAGAAGTTCTTAAATCACCATCTCTCTTAGCATACCGAAACCATCCTAACCTAATTCACTACTCACATCTTCCAATTTCAGTTAGATGCATTTCCATTCAGTAGATGGTGTACGGTAAGAATGGCCCCGGTAAAAATGGCCCAGGAAAAAATGGCCCCGGAAAAAATGGCCCCGGTAAAAATGGCCCCGGTAAAAATGGCCCTGTAGAGCCCACAAATGTAAAAATCTACCACAAATGTAAAAATAACCACAATTATGTCAAAACATTCTACCCGCAAATGTCAAAATAACCGCAAATGTCATAACATGTCAACCACAAATGTAAAAATAACCACAAATGTAAAAAAAATCGCCCACAAATGTAAAAATCTGCTTAACTACAAATGTAGTAACATTTCACCTACAAATGTAAAAATTTCCATTTTTACCTCAAATGTCATAACATGTCAAACCGCAAATGTAAAAATTTTCCTTAGCACTTAAATCCTTACAATATTCAAAGACCCTAATTAACTGCTATAGTAGAGCAGCCTAAAGCCTCAAGTTGCGCATCATGTCCTTATTAAACACTGTATATGTACCTTTGATGATTTATATTATATTTATATTATATTTATTCAACAGTGTTAACGGCTAACTTCCTTCAATATCATATATAATATACGACAGTACTTCTAGCCGTATTTCGAGTCCAAGTAATCAGGGGTACTGCAGTGTTGATCTAATTGTTATTGTCGTGATGGAATAAATGACAATAACTGGATTTGCGTCAGCAGAAACATGTATAGGTGTAACTGCAGTACCCGCTGCTTACTTGGACTCGAATTCAACCCTGGCCATCAGGCGCAAGCTCGGTGGTCTAGAGGTATGATGCTAGGCTAGTGATCTGGAGATCGTGCATGGGCTCGAGTCCCACCCGAGAACAACATTAAAATTACACCTATACAATAATTAAAAAAAAATACTTAGACCTAACAACCGCCCATACAAAAAAGATCTATTAATTAATCAATCAGCAGGGTACTCCTAGATCTACTCATATCCTAGGAGCTAAAAACTAAGTTATTTTAGTTCTCAAATATGCATATGGTTTATGTTGATTTATTAATTAAATTTTTGCTCCAGTGTATTTTACAGCATTTACCTTTTTTTTTTTTTAAATTTTATAATTGAGGGCCATTTTTTATTTATTGATTCAATTCTTGCTTATTACAGCATTTAAATATTTGAATATTTAAAAAAAAAAATATCATTTCTATTACCGTACTGATTTTTTTCATTGGGGCAATTTTTACCTACCTGTCATTTGGGGCCATTTTTACTGGGGCCATTTTTACTGGGGCCATTTTTACCGGGGCCATTTTTTCCAGGGCCATTTTATCCTGGGCCATTTTTACCGGGGCCATTTTTACCTACAACCACAGTAGATTGCCCGAGAACATCTCTTCATCACTCAACAGATTGTGTTATATAATTACAATTATATGCATTGTGTGTGTGGAGGAGGGTGGTGTGGGTTGGTGGTTATGGTCATCGGACCATAACTTATTAATAATACGTATTATAATTATTGTGGACGCTACCCAAAAGAAATATACATTGGTCGTATGTATATACTTTTATATTGGTTTTGGCCCCGAATATGTGCATCTTTTTTCGCTCAATGTTAAGATCGCCACAATATACACCTATGTACAATTATAGGCTTAAAGCTAAGCAATAAAGGTTAAATGTCACATGGCTGTTGCAATATGAAAATATGAATTATACTCCACACTCCTAAACATAATGTTAAATTATCAATATAAAAAACCCCAAAAAACACAAACCAACTAGTGAAAAAGATACAACTTACCTGCTCGTTTGAATCCGGCATTGCCTGTCACCCAAAGTCAACGAAGGCAATGAGTAGTAAACCGATATTGCCCACGTTAATTGTAGGAGCTTAAAATCGATTTGAAATAGTAAACGACTGTGCAATGAGGCATATCTCAAAATACAGCAAGTTAGTCACACTTAAAAGCAAAAAGATCAAAAAGAGTTCCACATTAGCATGACATGACAACAATAACTAATTGACCTCTACTAGGCTATTCATGTGAGTCGAGAACATACTTAAACTACCTACTATTGTTCCGTGTATAATTTAGCAGTTGATGTATTAATTCCTTCATAGACTGTCAATTTTTATGACTGTTATATATTGATGTTTTACTTTAATTATTTCTGCTCTTTGTATTTTTTTTGTAATCATATTGATAATACTATATTAATAAATGTCCATATCTATTGTATTCATTTTTGTTGTCTTTATTTGTGTATTGAGACATGATCACTTCCGTTAAGCTTTGTCTACACTATCAAATTTTATGTGACAAAAAAAAAATGTGATGTGCCCATATATGGGTACGATGACGTTACATCACATATTATTAAATTGTATCCAAAAAGTTCAACGTGTTCAACTCTTGTTCCATCACATTTTATGTGACGTTAAATGAAATTTAACTGTTAGACAAAGTTTTATTCTTCAAATAACAATACCTAAAAATTAATTTTTATATATTTTACGATTCTGGACAATCAACTACATTGCAAGATAGAAAAATGCAATATTTTATTTTTGTGCATTCGAGTTATTAAATACTGGTACTGTTTAATATTTATATTTTGCTATAATTGATTCAGTGAAGGCCTATTGTATATTTTGATGCCTGTTTTATTGCTTCTGTTGCTAGTTTTTATTGTGTATATTTATATATTGATGTATACCATTGGATTCTGTTTGTTCTAATCTAATTTAAGTTGAAATTCCATGCAGTTCGCAGATGTGCCCCTAAAGCTCCGTTCCCATCAAGCCCGGATCCGGTCCGGAGCCCGTGAGTTGCTACGTTTTTTGTACGCTGCGTTCACATCGCGCACGGAACACGGTTATTCGGTTTAAGTACGTAGGTCTATGCGTTCGATTGATTCGAACCAACCAAGCTTGTTGCTGATTGGTCCAAGAAAAAAAACCGTACGATTTCAGGATACAAATGGCTCTCAGATCCATCGGTCCGAATCCGGAGTCCGGATTAGAAATTGTACGAATTTGATATGAACAGTTCTATTCTTTATCACTGAACTCTGTAATATATTAACACAAACAAACGTCTTTGTAGTAGCCTAGCAAAACGGCTGGATAACGGAGTACACATTAAATTCTGTTCCATGTGTTCTAGAAGTCATGTTAACAAGATGTCCTGTGTGGATTTGTAACTGTGTGTATTATTAGTATTCAGCACGACTGTGTGTCAATAAAAAGGCAGAATATCACAACTGGCGACGAGGATGGGATAATATTATAACATACTACAATAATTATGGATCCATTTTCGAACTGCATAAAAGCGTTTGATCCGGACGAAGATCGGAAGTCTACAGGCCCACGTTGGGATAGATGGAAGAAGAGAATGGCAACTTACTTTGTGGCGAAGCAAGTTCGCAATAATGACCAAAAGAAAGCGCAGTTGTTATTATTTCTTGGGGAGAAGTCTTATGAGATTTACGAAACAATGGCTAAAGGCAATGACACCTACGATGATGTCATAAGAAGGCTTGACGAATATTTTAAACCGATCAAAAATACAGCACTGGCAGTATATCTGTTTAGGGAACTTAAACAAAACCAAGGTGAAACGGTAGAGCAGTTTATTACTAGATTGAAGTAAGAGGCCATAAACTTTGAGTTTGAAAATCCAACAACAGAAATAAAACCTCAAATCTTACAAAAAACAAGTAATAAAAAATTACGACGTGAGATATTAAAGCATCCTAATTGGACACTTGATGATGTCGTTAGTGAGGCAAGATCTCTTGAAACATCTGAGTTACAAGCAGGTAAAAGATAACCCCTTTGTGAATCATTCAACCGTGAATAAAATAACGGCAACAAGAGGGAGAGGTAAGCAACAACCTATGCATGAAAGTAAATGTAAAAAATGCGGTGGTAAACCTTATCATCCACCAACTCAGTGTCCTGCGAATGGTAGAACCTGTTATAAATGTTCGCGAGTTGGACATTATGCTAGTGAATGTTTTGCTGATAAGAGAGCAGTTAGTTACAGAGGCAGACAAAACATGCGAGGCAGAGAGTGCGTGGCGGTAGTTATTATTCATATGGTCGTGGTAGAGGCGGTAACCATGGATACGGTAGTCGCGGTGGACGCGATAGAAATCACAATGTACATCAAACTGAGAGAGATGAACGGGAACTGTATAATGATAGTAGTCGTGATTCAAGTAGTGATTTGTTTATGTGTACGAATCATGTTGATAATCCTAGTGGTAAATTGTCTAGAGATCACTTTAAAGTAATCTTGAATGTAAACAGTGTTGATTTGGAAATGTATGTAGATACTCAAGCAGATGATACTGTAATGAGCATTGATACGTATAATAAGCATTTTAATCATATTGAAATTACAAATAATGATATGGTATCTCTTAGAACATATAGTGGTGAGAAGTTATAGAAATATTATTGGTAAAATCAAATGTGATGTCATCGACCGTGAGGGTATAACACACAAGTTAAGTGCTAGTGTTGCTGATTATAGGTATAAGCCCACATTGCTTGGTCTTGATTGGATGGCAGTGGTTAAGTTAGACTGGAAAAACATAGTAAAAAATCTACACTCCAGGTATGTTAACAGTTGCGCACATCAGAATGATGTAAGTGAATCTCAATGTTCTAAAACAGTCGGAAACAGTAATTCCGAGTTAAATGTGTTGTTTAAAAGGTATGAAAACTTGTTCGAAGATTCATATGATGGCATGAGACATGAGCTAGCTCACATAAATATTAGAGAAAATGTTACTCCTGTGTATGTTAAAGCCAGGTTTGTTCCATATGCTAACAAATGCAAAGTTGAAAATGAACTTAAAAAGTTAGAAGACAATAATGTAATACATAAAGTCAAATACAGTGATTGGGCAACTCCTATTGTGGTAGTCCCAAAGTCTGATGGTACAGTTAGAATCTGTGGTGATTATAGTGTAACAATCAATAAGTTCATTGATGATGAAGTGTATAATCTTCCAAGCTCAGATGACCTGTATGCTGAATTAGCTGGAAAACGTGTTTTTACTAAGCTAGATTTGTCCCATGCATATGCTCAACTAAATTTAGATAAACAGAGCAAAAGCTATGTTACGATAAACACACATAAAGGTCTTTACTCATACAACAAATTACCATATGGTGTAAAGCCAGCTTCAAAGATCTTTCAAGGCAAAATGGATAAGATATTGAACGGTATCGAAAATTGCTTGTGCAATCAGGATGATGTCCTCATCAGTACCGAAACAGTAAATGAAAACTTGGCGGTAATAAAGGAAGTATTTCAACGATTTGAACATTACAATGTTCGCTTGAAACCCGCAAAATGCCAATTCCTGATGGATGAAGTAATATATCTTGGACTTAATTGCCTGAAGAAGTGGTGTCTGACAACGGCCCACAATTTGTTAGTGCAGAATTTGAATCCTTTTGTGATAAAAATAAGATAAAACATACATGTAGCCCAGTATACCATGCTGCCACTAATGGAGCAGCTGAACGAGCTGTAAGAGTAGTAAAAGAGGCTTTGACTAAGCAAGTACTTGATGGTAACTCCAAGCAATGAAGCATAGATTGGCTAATTTCTTGTTTAAGTATAGGACTACTCCGCATAGTACCACTGGACTTACTCCAGCAGAGTTATTTATGAAGCGTAAGCTCAGAACAAGACTATTAGTTAGTCCAAATATTGCACAGTATGTTGAAGAAAAACAGGCACAACAGAAATTGTACAAAGATCCTAAAATTAATTCGGAAAGGCAATTTCAATTAAATCAAAGCGTAAGAGTCAAAAAATATGAGATCAACATGCAAAGAGGATAAATGGTTAAAGGGTATTTTTACAAAGGTACGTGGTCCCAGAAAATATGTAGTGAGAATAGGACAAGTTGAGAAGGTGATTCACCCTGATCATTTATTTGCTAACACATAGGCACAGCTTAATGAAAGAAAGGAGAGAGTGTTTAAAACTTTACTATGATTCAGAACTTTGTGTTTACAAGTTTGTTAGGTATAATAAGAAATATACGCCTATTTTAATACAAGACAATTTGGAAATCACAACAGATGCTAGATACTTCAAGTACTAAACCGATAATTCAGATCATGAATAATACATGTACTGTACTTGCAGTATACTATTTGTAATGATGATAGTGATATTATTATAACAAGAAGTAATGTTATGATAACAAGTTAGTGATGTTTTGATATAATCCTGAGTTTCATGTTCTTAGACTATTTAGATAAGTATACAGTGTAGCATGTTAGATTTATAAATACTGTAGTTTAATACAGTAAGTTCATTTGTTTATATTAGAATACAGTAGTTGCTTATAGTTACGTTATAGTAAAATTTCATATGCCATATTCATAACCAAAAATAGTTAACAGTTTACAATTGTCATTTTCGTACAACTAAGCTTTAATTTTTTTTAAAAGGGAGTGATGTAATATATTAACACAAACAAACGTCTTTTTAGTAGCCTAGCAAAACGGCTGGATAACGGAGTACACATTAAATTCTGTTCCATGTGTTCTAGAAGTCATGTTAACAAGATGTCCTGTGTGGATTTGTAACTGTGTGTATTATTAGTATTCAGCACGACTGTGTGTCAATAAAAAGGCAGAATATCACAAACTCCATTTTTCACGATTTTTTCTCCGGACTCCGGACCGAAATCCGCGGGCTTGAAGCTTTAAGGCAGGCTCAGGTCGACACGGAACTGAAAGGAACTCAACTCAACTCAACTCAACTCGACTTTGAGCAACTGAAAGGAACTTGGCTCATGTCGACTGGCAACTGAAAGGAACTATTGGCTAAAAACATTTTCCCCGCGAAATCCCATCAACTGCAAAAATTCTGTAATGTTTTTATTAAGACATGTAATTATTTTAAAAAGTGTATCTACTTTATTTTTTTGTTTTGAAAATGTCGACCAGCAACTGAAACAAATGGTGCCTGTTTGTAGTCGACAGAATTGAGTTTTTAAAGATTTAATTTTCTTCGAAATCTCATCAACTGCAAATAAATGTTTGAATGCTTGTAAGATTAGACGTTTGGTTAAAAATAATAAAATTATTTTTGAAGTTTATCTACTTTTTTTTTTAATTTAGAAAAGTGTATCGCATATTGGTCTATTTGAAACGGGTTCATGCAAAATCTGGTGGAACAATTAAAACAAGAAAGGTCTTTTTCTATATGAAAAAACAAAAACAAAAACAAAAACAACAAGTATACACGAATGCATTTTATACGTGACAATGTTTACATGAATCAGCTGTCAAATATGTTATAAAAATGTATTAATTGTGTATAAGAGACAAGCAGCATACTTTTGATAGAATTCATAATTTAACACTACACTGCAGAGGGACTTTCTGAAAAAGGAATTTAGCTTTTCTTGACCTAAACCTAGGCCCTAGATAAATGTTCTACTGTTAAAGCCCCATTCCCGGCAAAATTTCACTAAAAACTGACTTTTTTTTTAGAAAATATGCATTTGCATTACTCCAATTATTATAAATCATGGAAAAATATTGGCATGAATTTTAGTTTTACGCAAAAGAA